GAAAGTTATAAACTACTGAAACATTTAGATCTCCCTATTCTGAACATTTTGAACCCCCATATACAGTATACAAGGCGGAAATGGAAAATAGCAACACAATTGAATTTAATCGATTTTACGTACTTTTCAGTCTTCATCTATGTGAAGAGATGTTATCGGCGCATCACGCATGCGCAATATTGATTGACGTCATCCAGTTGTGACCAATACTGTATCGATATCATCAAAATGAAGGTCAGATTCGCTTAAAACACACCAAAATACACTGGAAAAACTCCTAGGGACTCATGTCCTAAAGTAAAAATTTACCTATACTTGTGTGATGGATGTGGAGCAGTAGCACATGGACTCCTATTTGTTTTACAATCTTTGCCACTTATCAACTTACTACCTGTTCGGTTTATCCATTGTTAGTACAGGAGGAAACCCCATTATGTTTGATCACACTGGATAACACTCTCCTCAACGTGGGTAAATTTAGGATAATAGCCAGGTTTCAGCTAGGTTAGGGAGGTTATGAGCTTCTTATGACTTACCCTCGGACAAGTTATTTTTATTACTGTTTATTTTCTTACATTATTTTCATCAGTGAGATCTGATATGATAATCATTTATTGTGCAAACTTTTTGTTTCATAGATAATTAGGTGGCTAAGGGTGCACTAGTTTGTCTTCTGGGTGGTAATAAGGCCGCACTTAGCTGAGGCGCTTTTACCTCGCCCTGGGCAGTTTGTTTTTCAGCATGTCGAGTGAAGGTTGTCGCCAATCTTACATGAACGCAATTTGCAAATTTAGGGACAAAGACAACGAGACCCTTCAACTGTTCAAAGACCACAGCATTGTTCCTTTAAATAGAAACTGTCCACACTGCAGGAATTCCTGCGCTTTCAGACCGGAAAGAAATTTGTTCATCACTTCATCAATGCCGTGGCTCGACGTTTCCCACCACCAAAATAAATAAATCCGCTGCTCGGGCTGCAAAAGCGCCAATGCGGCCATATCACCTCATGTCCATAAAATGCCTCAAATTTCACCATATCATAGTAAGTCTTTAAACTACTAGGGGAACATATGGGCACGGGGGTGGAGGAGACTGCAGTGGGAGCGGGTAAACAAAGTAAAAGGTTACAGGAAAATAGTGTTAGGAATGATGACAATGCTAAATTAGACAGCGAATTAAGACCTAAACGCAGTAAAGGGAGGGCTCAGCACACGACTAACCTAAATGTCTACTACGCGAACAGTAGAAGTATGAGAAACAAAATGGATGATATTAGGGCCTCGGTATGTACCGAAAAAATCGATATAATAGCATTCACTGAAACATGGATCAACCTAGACTCACATGAGTTACCTGTCGAATACCAAATTGCGGATTAAAAATTGTTCCATACCGATAGGCCGTCCAGGAAAGGAGGCGGATTAGCAATCTATGTCAGGGATAATCTGAAGTGTGAAATAAATAAGGAAATAAAAACTGAGCGGAATACAGAAACAATTTGGATAGAATTAGTCGACGGTAGGGAAAAATTAATCATAGGAGTAATATATAGACCTCCCAATCTTGAGAGAGTTAATGAGCGACTTATCTGGGATGAAATGCGCAGGGCTTCCATACACAACAAAGTCTGTATAGTAGGCGATTTTAACCTTGGCCAAATAGATTGGACTGACCTTACGGGTAACTCAGTATCAGAGGATTTCCTCGAAACGATCCAGGACTGTTTCCTAAGTCAACATATAACCGAACCCACCCGGGGTAATAATATACTCGATTTAGTTCTGTCGAACAGAGAAAACCTCATTAGCAATGTCGAGGTAGGGAACGAACTTGCAAACAGCGATCACAAAGATATTAGATTCCAGTAAGATTTTCAGGTCAGATGTAAGGAAAATTCCATTAAAGTCCCAGATTTCAGAAGGGCAAACTTTGATAGTTTAAAGAGGCAGCTGAGGGAGGGGGTGTCGCGCTTGGGCGTGAACCTGACAGATGACACCGACCTGATAACGAGATCTGAGATTGCCGAGTTCCACGACAATTTAAATAACGAGTTACTTAAAGCACAAAGGCAGAACATACCATACAAAAAACTCAGATCAGACAACAATGACCCTAAATGGATAAATAATTATTTAAAGAACATCATTGGCCAAAGGAAGGCTATAGGTAGAAGGATAAATAGTGGCGAAATTTACCTCCGGGAGTATTATAAGTCTATTGGCCGGTTGGGTTAAGACCGAGATAAGAAAAGCAAAGAGAAATAATGAACTGAAGATAGCAAGGGAGGTGAAGACAAACCCCAAAGGATTCTACCAAATGTATCAAACTAAAACACGAGATAAGATTGGACTAATACGTTCAGATACCGGCGAGCTAACTGATAACGACAGAGAAATGAGCAATAACCTGAATAAATACTTTTCAATAGTTTTCACCACCGAAAATTTAAACATGATACCCGAGGCACCGACGCTATTCAGAGATAGTGAAGAAAACAAATTAAGCGAGATAGTAGTGAATAGTAACGATGTTAATAACCAAATAGACAAACTGAAGCCTAATAAGTCACCTGGTCCCGATGAGATATTTGCCAGAGTATTAAAGGAATGTAAGGAAGGGCTTAGTATGCCCTTAGCAAAGTTGTTTAGCATGTCATTAAAAACAGGTATAGTACCAGAATCCTGGAGGATAGCGAATGTAATACTGATTTTCAAGAAGGGAGATAGATCACCATCCTCTAACTACCGCCCAATCAGTCTAACATCAATAGTAGGCAAATTACTAGAATCAATCATTTCAAACTCTATTCGAAACCACCTGGAGAAGCACAAGTTGATCAATGATTCCCAACATGGCTTCACAAGCGGGCGTTCATGTCTAACTAATCTATTAACATTCTTTTCATCAGTTTTCGAATCGGTGGACGAGGGGCACAATTATGATGTGGTATATCTCGACTTTAGCAAAGCCTTCGACAGAGTCCCCAATGAAAGACTAATTAGAAAGGTAGAAGCGCATGGCATCAAAGGTAATATCCTTAAATGGATTAGGGCGTGGTTACGGGACAGGAAACAGTGAGTGAGCAAAACGGCACTAAATCGCATTGGAGCAATGTCACTCGTGGAGTTCCCCAAGGCTCAGTACTTGGACCATTTTTATTTATTATTATTTACATAAACGACATAGATATCGGCATAGACAGCAACATAAGTAAATTTGCTGATGACACTAAAAGAGGACGTGTAATTAAATCTGACGAGGACTCTGCAAAACTTCAGGATGATCTAAACAAATTTTTCGAATGGTCGGAAAAATGGCAGATGAAATTCAATGTGGACAAATGTAAAGTACTCAGTATAGGAGATGTAAACAGGGAAACCAGTTACCAGCTGAACAACGATGCCATTGTGGAATCCGAATGCAAGAGAGATTTAGGAGTAATGATAAGTAGGAATCTTAAGTGAAGTAAACAATGTGTTTTTGCCCGTAACAAGGTTAATAAAGTACTTGGGTTCATACAAAGGAGTGTTAGTTACAAGACTAGCGAGGTCATCCTAATATTGTATCTTGCACTTGTGAGACCTCACCTGGATTATGCGGTTCAGTTCTGGTCACCATATTACAGAATGGATATAGAATCCTTGGAAAGAATTCAGAGGAGAATGACAAGACTAATTCCGGGCATTAGGAACCTTGAGTATGGAGACAGGATAAAGCATCTTAATTTGCACTCCCTCGAGAGACGTAGAACGAGGGGCGACCTGATAGAGGTGTATAAATGGAAGTCAGGGCTAAACAAAGGGGACATTACAAAGGTACTCAAACTATCCAACCAGGAGCGAACTCGTAATAATGGGTTTAAATTAGACAAATTTAGATTTAGGCGCGAAATAGGTAAACACTGGTTTGGAAACAGAGTAGTGGATGAATGGAACAAGTTACCAAATATCATCATTAACTCGAATACACTGGATAGCTTCAAACATAGGTTGGAGGGTCCAACTAATTACCCAAATGTAGCCGCAATGAAGTCAAATAATGGTCCTACATGAATAAATCAGACTGCCAATCACTTCTCGACTAGTATTTGGTGTCACAAAGTAAAAAAAAATTGGAAAACATAAGTTAATCTGAGTTAATAGATCGCGTGCATGTACCGAGGGAGCGAGTAATTACCCAAATTTACCCAAATGTAGTCGCAATGAAGTCAAATGATGGTCCTACAAGCGTAAATCGGGCTGTGAATCACTTCTCGATTGTTATTTGGTGTCATAAAGTCACAAAAAATTGGTAAACTTAATTTAATCTGAGTTAATAGATCGAGTGCATGTACCTAACCTAACCTAACACAACTCAGATTAAATTAAGTTTACCAATTTTTTGTGACTTTGACACCAAATAATAATCGTGATTCCCATTACCATCATTGACATTGAATGAAATTAATTGATTCGGTTTAATAAGTTTTCCAATTTTTTTGACTTTATGACATAGAAGTGCATTTAGAATGATAGGACGTGGGTTGGATGCTTATATGAGCAATAGGGGTTGGGTATAAACGGGACTGCCCAGTATGGCTCAATATGCCAGCTGCAGTTTCCTCCATTCTTATGTTCTTAAGTTCTTTCTGTTTAATATTCCAGGGGTCGGGTGCGAACTGTAAGGAAGTTATGTAAGATTAGGTAGGTTTGTTTGGTTAGGCTGGTAAAGTCTGTTCTTCATACCCACAAATGTTAAAGAACGTATATTTTAAAAATATTAATTTTTTAACACATTTGCACAAACTACAACAGTGTCCGCTATAAAATAACAGTGAAAATCGGGCGTTTTTATTATCGTTTTCAATCAATTTCGGCAGAATCATTACAAGAACCATAAGACAAAATTATTTTTTTAACAGAAAAATCGAAACCTGGCTACTATCATAAAGTGGCCCTCACACGTGTCCAGACCAAGGCTCCAACCCTGTACCAACAACCTTAACACGAAAAAAAACAAACCTTTCAATATTCCCGTCTCTGTGCCTACAAACACATTAAAATCTTGTTCAGGCTCCTCCATATTATATTCTTATTTGGGATACACTATTTGGAACTCCGTATTTCGAGTACAACAACTAGCTGGTGTAAACAGTAAACATGTGGTGCCGTACAACGTTCCTTTACCCACCCACGAGTTATTGACTCAACTGAACGGCGGATTCTTTTACAAGAACGCTCCATTGCACCGCATGTTTACTGTTTTCATCAGCTAATAATAATATAAATAATAAAAATAATAATAATAATAATAATAATAATAATAATAATAATAATAATAATAATAATAATAATAATAATAATAATAATAATAATAATAATAATAATAATGAGTATTTTTTGAGAAGAATACAAGTGAAGTCGGCCACTGGTGAATGGAATTGTACATTGGTAGTTTCCCACAGTGACCATTTCCCTATCCACTACCCTCCCAGTATGCTTGAGAATACCCACTCCACCCAAGGGCCTCCAGCTCCAGCCTACCCCTGCCAACAGCACCTGCCTTCATCCCACTGCCATTGCCAGACCTAGTTTCAGAGACACCATTCTACCACCAGACCAACTCTACCTTCAATCTGTCAAACAATGCACTGACCTCCTCCGCCTGTCCCCTAAAACACGCCGCCCTAACCATAGCCCAGAGTCTGTTAGAACGTGCTCCGTGACCCTCATGTTAAGTCCCTATCCAGTATGGCACCAAAAATAACCAGTCGACAGTGGAAGAAATCTCCCAGCTCTGACTCTCTACGCTTCACGATGCGCTGAAATAAAAGAAGCTCCAATCTTAGCCATCTCTCCTTTGGAAAGCATTTGATTTTGCTTCTATTGACCAGTCTCTACATCTATAGGTGATATATAACACCGATAACCGTGCGGGGCACCAACATGAACCGCGCTCACACGGGCCCGCTGCCCCAGGCTGAGATAGCTTTCTCTCCCGGAGCTGTGGCAGGCCGCCTCCATTGATGCTACCACCGCTGTACGAGACCTCCTCCTTTTAAGCGCCGACATAGCACATCTTCAGTACCAAGACCTATTTGCAGACACTGACGTACGCTTGCACAGTGTGAACTACTAAATGCTGTTAAGCGTGGTCAGTCCACCGCCCCAGGCGATGATGGCATCACATATGATGTGTTAAATGCTGTGTACTTACCCTGGTAACCCCCACTCTGTCTATTTAACCTCTCTTTTGATACTGGTCAGTTGCCTCCACTTATGGAGACTGCCACCACCATCCCAGTCCTAAACCAGGCAGACCAAGATGAATATCGTCCAATATCCCTCATCTCCTGCTTCT